ACCCTACACTGCATTATACAAAACAATAAAAAACATGTGCAAGATCTCTGGAAAGATAACAGTGCAGGGTACTGACGAAATGCTATAGGCATCATTACCTTTTTTTAACAAAAATATTCTTCAGTATTGAAGTCAAGACATTGAAGTCAAGACATGTCCTTAGCATGTCTTATACATTCAGTGTTATTACTAAAAATACTTTTGTCAGACAGGCCTCAAAGTTGGCCTGCAAATGTACATATGCTACAAGTACTTTATACATTTCATTATTTACATGGCTCTTGAACACACTAACGAGCTTTCATACTTTGTTTCGTCGTCATTAGGCCAGCAATTAGCAGCTCCAATTCTGCACAGGGAAAGTTAAGAGCCTCAGTATAAGATTGAATCACAAAAATAGAGAATCCATAGTGAGATAGTCGATCACGCCTCCATCATTACAATAGCATCCTGGTCTGTAACGCATTTAAAAACTAGTCTGATTGCAGTGCAAGAGTGTTAACAGGGGCAGAGGCAAAGATGGCCTGTTGATAATCAGATGGTCACCCATCAAGTTCCATTTTGTAAACATAAATGCCTGACTTCTGCTTCACCTTGAGACCCCCGGGCCACTTCGATTCAAAGACGTTCCCCAGCTCTGCCTTAAGCTTGCTTACAGATGTTTGCAGTCAACAGGACCAAAACAAGGAAGTGAAACTCAACAGTCCCACGTATACGTCTGGTCCTCTTCCGCATGTTGAAGCTGCAACACTGTGACATAGGCTGAGTCCGAGGAGTAATAACAGTTCTGATGGAACAGATCAAAATGACCCAGGGAGCTCAATCCCAATCATCACTCGGCTGGCAAGGTTAAAGTGGCAATGGCAACAACGCCATTCACACGGAGGATGTCCAGGAAAAAAGAAAATAAAAGAATACAGCAAAACTTTGCTTTGGTTACAAACATCTCTTCATACATCTTTCAACAGCAACAAAAAGGATTTGTACAAAATAATGCTATGATAGAGTGTCTGGGCCCCAGACTTGTTCAACTCCCATAGTGCATGTGCGCACAGCGCAATAAAAAGGTACGAGAGTTGACAGTCCAGGGGCCTGTGTGCCATGGTCTCTTATTATGCTTCAGTTTGAGGTTATCATATTGACCTATACTCACTAACTACAGCTTATTATCTCTAGTAAGATAGCTTTTTTTCCCTGCAGAATTGCAGTTGAGTGTCTTTTTCATTCAAAAACAGGAATATAAAAAGAAAAAAAAAGGATTGGGCCTAGTCAAAAATGCTACAAATGTGATTTTGCTTTAGCACCCAGACTTTAGAGGTGACTCTAAAGGAGTTTTGTTATAAACTGAAAAGGCATGACTGTCCAAAGAAATGGACTGTAAAAATGATGGGAATTAACCTGACCAATACTAATAACCCTTGCATGGGGAAAAAGATCACTCAATCTGCTTAAACAGCCAACATAAAAAGAACAAAACAAAACAGAAGTACAAAGGATATCCAGTTTTTCATTAGTCACAGGAAACAGACCCCAGTAAAAGCATCACCAACCAGCAAGGCTCAGCGGCTGTAATACGTCGCAATTTTAAAAATGTGGGTGTTTAATCAACATTTCCAGCAAGTGTTGCTTGTTGGAAAATGTCACATAACACTTAAAGTGATTCGACTAAAAACAGGTAAAAGTATTACAGCACTGAGGTGTTCCTGGTGGGTGTGTACCTTCAGTAGAGTCCCAGTTCATTGATTGGCTTTTAAACGATCAAAGAGTGGGCAACCTCTCAGGCCTGCACCTTGAGGAGACTTTTGAGCTGGAAAGTCATCATCTCCCTGTTATCACACGAGCCCATAGGGAAGGACACCCAGTGGCTGGGGGGTTTGGGCAACACGCTAGGCAAGGGTGGCTCGCTGAACTTAGGCCCCGCGTAGCTCGGACTCCCTTGAGTGGCCAGGAACGTGTTGAGGTGAGACACTGCACCTTCCCAGTTCTGATCATAATTGGTGGCAAAACGGACAGAAGCACTCTTCTCTGCAGACACGGCCTGCCGCGCCTCTGGAGACCTGTGGTAGGCTGCGCCTTTGTCGCTCCTGCGGTGGCCATGGTGGTGAAGGCCCCCTACACCTCCTGCAGATGCTGCTGCTGCTGCTCCGTTCTGATCACGGCTTCTCTGCTTTGCCCTGCTAAGCTGGTGGTTCTTCTTAGGCAGAGGACGCTCAGGGTGGGAAACTGGAATGTTGTATCTCTCTCCACCTCCCATATTGTATCTGCACTACGTGTCACCTAAATGATGAAAACATTTTTGAAAACAAGTGTGAGTTGTGCACCGACATCAAGGAAATGTGCGTGTTGCTGTGGTGTTCTTCTAACAGGGGTGAACTTGACAAAGCCTAATCTCCCCGCATAGCACGCACACTCTGACGTCATCCCTTGATATAAACAAGCACACGGCGCTACGTGCAGAAACACCAGACACTCCGACCCGCCGCCCCTCCCCCACCCACCCACCCACCGCCGAGAGCCACAAAAACAGCTCCAGCTCACCTCTTTGTTGTGAGAAAGTTGACGACACGGATTTCTCTCTTCAATCTTTCACCTCCGATCGGGCCCCAGGTCCTCGAAGTAGTTATCAAGCTACTTCTCGCTGCACTTTGTGGTCCAGCAGGGTCTGAGGTTTTCATGTGCCAATGAGCGTTGTTTTCTCGTGGAGCCGAGCTGAACATCAACTCAACCTCGGCGGCACACGGTGCTCCAAGAAGCCGAAGGACCTTTAGTACAAAATAAAAGTCCATTAGTGTTTGTATATTGACGCTAGACTTGACGCCCCGTCGTGGCTTTGTTGTTTTCTTCCTGGTGGTGGGGGGGGGGGTGTGCATTTTCATAGTGCGTCACCACATCTTGCAGGTGAAAACATCAAGCCCAGCGTAAATAAGCATCGTTAAATGAAAATGTATGGGTACGCAAACATCATGGCCACGATATTTAATGTAAAAAAATGTACATGTCTGTTTGTTTGCCTCTAGCTGCTCTGTACTTGAGCGGCACTTTTTCGTCGTAAAAGTGCAAGACAATATTAATAATTTCGACGTGTTGTGAGTTCGCAATGACAGCTGATCATTTTTCTGATAAATAAAGACTACATTCACAATCTCGGTGGCAGTACTTTGGCACCAGACCAAAACAAAGAAACAGTGAACTCAACATGGCGACGAGGAACAAAACTGTTTTCTCTTACCGACTTCTCCTGGCTCGGTCGATGAAATCCGTCTCCACAGTGAATACAAAATATGCCTTCGTAATATCCCTCGGCGGACTATGTTAGAAGAACAACAGAGCTGTGGTTCCTAAAAAGAAAAAAAAATCCGTCACCTTCAATGCTAATGTGGTGTAATACAGGCCGTGTAAGGGCCAAGTCTCCCTCTCTCGACTCCGTCTGAATTGCAACAAAATGGAATCTACAGCAGAGATATGTAGCTCAGGCTCACCGAGCTCTGACCAATCATGTACCGAGAACAACCTGTACTAGCCAATCAGCGAGCAGAAACCCAGACGCATCCACTGCTTGTTGCCAGACTGGTGACGTCAATCACCGACCGTCCCCTCCTTTCCTTTGTTGGAGCTCGGGTATTTCCCGAGAAGGAAGTGATGAAAAATAACAGAAACAAACACTGGTTTTTACATTAAATCTGTCCAGCTTTCGAGCGAAATCATTTAGAAAACAAGCCCACAGTGTCGTGAAATACCGCGGGCTGGTTTTAACGTTACAAAATATAAAGTTTAATGTTATGTAATGGTGTAGACTCCGCGTTAAAAAAATAAATAAATAAGGTAAACATGTCAAGGGTTTAGGTTTATTGGCACAATTATTACTTTCCTGCTACAGGAAAACTATTAGTTGTGGGTGAAACCTGTTGTAGTGTGTTAAAACAGCTGCAACAGGCTGTGATGATAAACAACAGGCTGTTCTCTGCGCTGCCCATCCCCCACCTCCGGCTGTCCTTCTGCTGTGACAAATAAAGCAGAAGTCTTACTTAAACCGGTCAATTTGCCGTCTTATAGTGTTCCACCTGGTTGAGTAGAAAGGCTACAGGTAAAGGGAAGTGAAAGTTATTATTCCTGTGTGTCTGTTTTAACACAAACAATGCCATATTTAATGAATAGGCTTCACTTCTTACAGTCTATAGTGTCAGCCAGTTGGTTAGTCTTTGTGCCTTAATACAGTAAGATTGATTTTGATGAGGCCCAAGTCAAAGTTAATACTACAAAGCGAGTAGCCTGACAATAAAAGTCACACAGCCATAAATCTCAAGCAACATTTGGGTAAGCCTTTGGGGGTCATTAGGTGGGAACTTTCCTACTCCCCCCCCCCATGTTTTCTTTTGAATTAACCAAGAACCAAATGGTTTACAATGGGAACCAATGCCGTGGAGCAGATGCTTGTTTGGTTTCTAATTTAAGATTGTTAGGATGACTTGTAGTAGGCTATGTTACGATTTTACGCTATTAAAGTTGAGGCTATTTTGAGCACTTTCTGACCTAACTCCTGAATAACTTCAGAGTTAGGTGGTTGGATCTGATTGCACAACATCCTTGGAACATAACTTTTTCACCGTGTTATTTGTGGGAGTAAACTGGTCTTGAATCTCTCCATTTGTATGTTAGTCTGTATGTTTTTTTGTTTTTTTTAACTCTCTCAGCATTCATGTTTGCTCTTGAAAGACACACCCTCCTCCTTGTCTTTAAAAGGAAATGGATGTAAAGATTTAGGTTACAACTTGTTTTTTATCAGTGTCCACAGGTTCAGGTGTAAGCCAAACAACTACAGGGATTTATCCATGGTAAACTTTGCTTCCCACCCTTACTGGTTTAAAGTGCCTGGACTTTAAAAAGAGTTGCGCAACTTAGTCCGTGTCAGAGCTCACAGCTGAAGGCGTTGTTAGGACACTCCCCAAAGCAAAGCAACCTTTGAAAAGGGGGTGTGTCAGTCATGTATGGAAAATAGGTCACCCAGAAGTTTCTGTAGGTTGTACACAAGCGATAGGAGGTGAACAAATCTCCAAATTTGACTGGCTGTGGAGACTTGTCTGAGGTATAGTAAATAAACAGTGGGCTATTTTGGAAAGTGAACTGGAAAATATCCGTAAAACAGTGAGGGGGGGGGGGGGGGGGGAGCTGCCAGGTTTATCTATTCTCTCACAGCATAGATAGTGTCGGTCTCATGGGGGCAGTGTGTTAACAGTGGAAATGAGCTATGGAGTTTCCCATGAATTTGAATCGTGTGAAATGTGTTGGGAAAGAGGAACAGAAGCAGGAACAGTTTCACACCACTCAGCAGAAAGTAGGGCCCATATCAAAGACCTTTTATAACACATTCAAAAGAAATCTGTCCTTTTTGCTGCCAAGTTTTTTTCCCTGTCTTGTATAATAGGAGCAAGCACGGTGACATAACACATAGGAACCTGAATGAACTCAACCAAAGAATTTTACACTAAGAACTGAATAGACCAAGTTCATACACATGCACACGGTAATTGTCTCAATATGCTCCATTTGTACTCAGTGCTCCGAATAATTTTCAGATGTTTTTTCAAGAAACATGGCGGAGTAACAACAAGGACAACAGAGCTGATCAGCTATTAACAGTTATTACAAGTTGAGGAAGAACGGAAGTATGGTGTGTAAGTATGAATAGCAACAATTATTCAAGTCAGACTCTTTCTGTAAACAGTTTCAGCTTTTAATACACACAGTCATTTACACAACTGGTGCCAAGATTTGTCAATCAGACAAAATGAAGGAAGAAGCTTCTAAGGAGAAATATGTAACTCTGACACGTGGCCTTTAAAAGTGGTGTAGTGCAAATTCAAAACATTTGAGAGAGCTTTCTTTGCTTTCCCACTTCCATCGCTGTAACACCTGTTGATGTTGCCACCGAGGGGCGTCCCAAACAGCCGCGTGGGGGGGCCTTAAACCGCCTACCTTTTTTTGGTCAAAACAAAAAAACAGACCATTCGGGAGTGGAATCAAAACTCAGAAGGAGCACATACTGCTGCATTGTTGTCAGAGAAGCCAGCACTTCAACATGTAGCATAGTAAGGTCATTTTATGATTTAATTCAGTAGATATCTTACATATTGCTCCTTTAACACAACTCAGTTAGTAAACACAAACATAACTTGTTACAGGCTGTTTGTGTTATTTAATCATTAAATTAAAATTCTGTTTGTCAGGAGCCAAGACGCCTGATAAACACCATGGTGTTTATCTAACACTCTTATCATAAATGACTTTATGGAAACATCAACATGCCCTGAACTTTTAACAACACGAGGCACTTCTAGTCCTTTCGAATGCTTCAAGATAAACTTGCATACACAGTTCTGTACTCTCAGATAAAGTCCTATAGACTTATTGAAAAACTTCAAAGCATTGTCTAAGAGCAACTCTCATAACATACAGTGCATTATAAATATTTCAAATCAAAAACAATTTGAAATTGAAAATGTTCAGGTTTTACCTCTTACTTTTAAAGCACTTCATGGTTTGGTGCCATAATATATATTAGAACTGCTGTCCCCTTACCAGCTAAGTTCCTGAGGCAGGAACCTCCTCACTGTTCACACGTCAAACTTAAAAAGTAAAGCTCCTCGGCTAAAGACCAGCCTGAGGGTCTCAGACTAGCTACATCAGTATCTTCTTTAAGATCACTTTTTAAAACTTATTTTTATCAAAAGGCCTTCTTGTATTCCTTGTTTTATCCATAATGTTTTTTTTGTTTGTATGTTTTCAAAGTTAATTTCTTCGCCCTTTTTGCCTTTATAGGACAGCTGAAGAGAGGCAGGAAATGTTGGTAGAAGAGAGTGTGGGATGCCGTGGAGAAAAGGGCCAAAAACGGATTTGAGCTGCTGAGACATAAACGCTAGGCTATCTGCTCTCCCTGTCCATGATGTTTTATGTGCTTGATTTATTTGACTGTCAACTGTATTCAATCTTGGTCTTATTTGTTTTATGCTACATTGTTGTTTTTATTTTCATGGTTTAAGATTGTATTGTTGTGTATTTTACTGTTGAAATTTTTTACATTTTAAAAAGCACTTTGTGAAATTGGTTTTGATAAGTGCTTATAAATAAACCTTATTATTATTATTATTACTTAAGTTTTCAATTCACTGTTTATTTTTTCTAATGAATAATTAAACCATTTATTATTAATTTACAATTGTATTACACTGGTCCAAGAAAGAGGGGAAATAATTAAGCATTATTAAAACAATGAGCATTAGCGTGGACTAATTGGATTTTTACTGTTAATTTGTTCTTGGTCTTTTCACATGGCTGATCTGATACTGCTGTCTGAAGGTCTGCTGATCTGGAAATGAGAGGAGGAAATTTGATTAATGGATTCAGCCTGAATCCATTTGAAAAAGCACAGCGAGCCATATCATGTTTCTGTCCGATTTCTTTTTTTTTTTTAAGGAGGGGGGAGTGGGGGTGTTGTGTAACAGGATGATGTAATCCATCTAATAATTGAACATTTCCGGCTTTATTCTGTCCTGTTGTCTGTTCTGATGTGATGCACCTGGTCAGGCAGTGACTGAAAATAAATCTTATTGGAGCTGTTCTGCCCGCTGTAATCACATTTCCTGCCTTCTGGCCTGCTGAGTGCATCAGGTCACAGGAGGAGACGACATAACCACTGCACCATGTCACTCTCATATTTATTATCTTGCTTTTATTTAGTTTTACTCCAAATCCTCATCAAGAAACAAGAAATCGTTTTCTAAAGACATACAGTGTTGTCTTGACTTTTGATAGATTACATGTATGAGTCCCAGTTTCTGTTCTATTTAGCATACTTCTCTGTAAAGTGACAGGCATAAATAGGTTGCTAGTTCATTTCAGAATGCCGCAGGTACGTGACATTTTATGACCTGATTAATTTGTCACCAAACTAATAATGTACTTTTTATTTTCACCAGAGGGGTGTGAGCCAAATTTAACGGCCTTATTTGATGATGAAACTGCTTTTAGAGTTCAGTTTTGTATTTGTAGAGGAAATTAATGATTGAAGATGAAGAATCAACTATCTTTTTTTATTATGACGTTCACAGCACGTTAGTGTACGGTTGCTTAGCATTGCCCCCTGTTGTCCTGCAAGCCAAATTACACCCAGAGCCACCCCTTCATTTTCTCTGTTTCCTCTGTGGTCAGCAGTCTGTATGTAATACTGAAGAATCAAATCTTCTGAATTTGCAACATACTGATTTACACAATGAAAGACTAACTGTGGATGTTACTTCTTATTCTAACATTTAAAGTGAATAAGCTCAACAGAGAGACTGATATCAGTGCATGATCGTAGAAACCTGATAAAGGGAAAGCCCTTTTTGATTAAATAACTCTTCATAACAACACAAATTAAACCATTTCATTCTATTGTCTTAATTTATAATGCAAAAACTTTTAACCCTTAAATGAGAAAAGTTGACAGCATTGTCTGTCAGCATGAAGCAGTTTATGTTTTCATGTAATCCTATGATTAATTAGTTCTTGAAATAGCATAAATTATATAATTCTATGAGGAAGTCCTGTGTGTCTGTCTGATGCGCTGTCAAATGAAGATGAGTGGAGAATAATTAGACGAAGAGGGGGAAGGAAACACAGCTGTCACACAAATAGAAAAATAATAAAAATGAATGGCGGGGCAGTTTTAGCGTGAGAAAAACACATCAGAGGAGGTTCATTATTCCAGCATGAGATTATTTTTTAAGTTATATTATTGGATGGTTATTGTCTTTATTTGATAGGACAGCTGAAGAAAGAGAGAGGAAACATTGGAAGTAGAGAGTGGGGGACGACATGCAGCAAAGTGCCGGGCTGGATTTGAACCCACGGCTGCTGCGATGAAGACTCTGGCCTCTGTACACACTTCATAACCACTAGGCTATCCGGTGCCCCACATCTTTTTGACCTCGGAGTTTCAGAAATGATCACGGCAATGAGGTACACCTACAAGGTTGTCAATGCATCAGAGAGACTCCAACAATTATGGAGAAAGAGATCATCAGAATAACTTAACCAGGAAGTGGAAGGTGACTGTGAAGGTTGGTTTTCACATGAAGGGCATTTGGAGTGTTTTTCATCCCTTTTTTTATTGACATAATTTTTCACACCTAACCTCTAACAGCCAGCTTAAGTACTCTGCTCCTCCAAGCACCACCCTGACACTGAAAACATCACTTAGGTTGGACACAAGAGTGCACAATCCCTAAACTCTGTTACTTTATGTTTCTATGGTATGGTCATATTTCATTTAACTTCAATTGTTTATCATCATTTCATCAAATGAACTCTACTGCTATGATTTTAGTTTCATCACAGACTGCCAGCTGTAATTAAAACGACATCATTTGTGCTCTTTTATCCTCTCCCTCGGTTTCTCTCTCTCTATCTCTCTCTCTCTCTCACTCCCCCCTTATCTTCTTACCTCACATGCGCACTTTGCCTACAGTCTAGTCTGAAAGGTCTGTGCGGTCTTTCTGTGGTCGTTTCTGCTTCTGAGAGAGGAACTAACAAGAAAAACAAGCTCAAAGGGAGAAAAGGTAAGACTTCAAAAGTGATTTCATTATAGATTTAAAATACAGTGGCTGACTATTAAAAGTCAGTGTTTCTTTATTTATATGCATACTGCTATCTTTTTTTATTCATTGATTTGGATTGTTTTAAGAAGCTTTATGTGGTCTTTTCGTGCTCTTCTAGCTAAAAGTGCTAAAGATAATTTTGAAACAAGGACGTGATAGTGCAATAGTGACTCAAGAGATTATTGCCACATTATATTTCAATGGCATGATGTGACTAAACCAGACATCATCTTCATATACTGTCTATTCTGTATCTTTATAGCCTTTGTTGGTGATACTTATGATTTATTGAAAATACAGTCCTTTTTTTATGAGTGACTCTTGCTTTAGAGTCAAAACACAGCTTTCTGTGCTGTCAATCAAGTTTCTTCATTTTTTTTTTTTACCACGAGGTAGAAGAAGCCTGAGGTGCTGTAATATCCACTGTGCATGTGCCCATATGGCCCACTGTCAGATTGAGAAATATTGTCCCTCGAGTCAAGAGATGGCTTACTGTAAAGCAATTTACTTCTGCTCGTATATATATAATATATATATATTTTATATTTCATAAGGTGGTGTCATATTTGTGATGGACTGAAAAAGCAAACAGTGGAAAGAGAATAAAGGGAGTGAAGGGCAAAGTGACCTGAATGAGCGAAAATGTTCCCTTAAGTGCACTCATGAGGATTGTAATCACTCACACTGTGTCCTATATAAGCCTTCTACATTCCTTGATACAGTTTTACTATTTGAATTGATTAACACAATGTATTCCAGCTGAAATAATTTTTTTAAAAGTCCTCAATGTACCGTTATACACTTATGTCATGCATTCTGCTCGTAAAATGTAGTATTTGTTTGTATTTAAGCAGTTATAATAAGTGGCCACTCCCCTTCATCACAGCGTTATTTACTTCAATCAAATCCTTTCTCATCACACTGAGTTTAATCTATTGATTGCTTACAGGTGATTCAATCAACAGAGATTGTTTAAAATGGATTGTTCATCTCTGTGGTGACCTTCACACACAGATCAGATTTGATGTTTTGTCAAAACTGCAGTCGCCTGTAGTTCCAGTAGGGGGCAGTCTCAATTCTGTTTAATATGATGATAGGCCAACATGGCAATGGAATGCACACAAAGTTAAGTGACCGCAAAAGTCAATAAAATGTGAATTAAATACTTATTCAAAGTTAATTAAAAGCAAATAAGAAGTGTTAAAGACAATAGTTCAAGTTTCACTGGAAAAAAACATGCAAATAGTACAAAGACAACAGCACCATTTAATTTTCTTTAGGCTATATCTCTAGACGTTCCATTCATATTAGAGATGGGACAGATCTGATCTAATATCGGTATCAGGTCCCATATTGACATAAATCACATATCGGATATCGGACTGACCGCACCGATCTAGTCACAGATCAAGAAAGATCATTGTGTACTTTATACATTCTCAACTCGCACAGTCTCACTTTGAAGACATTCAGACTGAACTGTAAAGTGTCCACAAATCGTCTCCATGACGACGTTCAGACAAGCTGGAGCAGCGCCTGCTATATGATCAGAAGTACAATTCTTACACTTCAGTTTGAAAGAGAAAAACCTGACCGCTGTTGCTGCTTCCTGTTCGTATGCGAAGCCAGTATAATGCAATGCAATGCCAGGTTTACTACAGCTTTGTGCAGCCTTACACATAATACACCAAAAACAACAATAATATTATTAGTTATGATAGTAAAATATCAGAGTATCGGTATCTGTACATATGTTTCAAAATCTGATTGGATCTGGAAAAAAGTGGATCTGTGAATCTCTTGTAAATCATAAAGGTAATCTCTCATGTGCACACATTATATCTATGCAATCATAGAATATAGTGTTGGACAAGTCTTATAAATATTGTTGACGTGATACAGATCCCATTGTTCTGAATACAATAAAAGTTTAATTCAAATATTGGTGTGGTCTTTATAAAATAAGATTCATAAAATTAAAGAAAACCAAATCACATATGAACAAATAAATCAATAATCCGTGCACACTGAAAATGACTTTTGTGTAAAGTTTGTGTACTGTCACTTCACTGTGAGTGAACAACATGCCTCGTCTGTAGCCTCCTCAGGTTCGCCCAGCATGACGGGGTGCACAGGCTGTACATGGGGTCCCCTGTTGGTCAACCAAATCACATCTATCTTCCATATGATACTGCAGAATAATACAGTCTATTGAATCATAACCCGTTCATCTTAACATGTAAGACGCCAGTTTCTGGCTTCAACACAACCTGACATTCATGTTCAAAAAGCTCTGGTCAAACAGTTATTGTGTTTCAGCTAAAACTACAGTGTATGGATTACATCGTAATGTAAATGAAATCAAAGGAATTTAGGAATCATGCTACCTGTAATATAACTATTGCTCTAGTGGTAATAAATGTTTGTTGAGAAGAAAAAAAAAGAGCTGTAGGATAAAACATTGGGTCCTAGTTCCTGGAGTACGGATTGGTTTATCATTTTCTGTCCGCAGGTTCCTTGTAACTGTCACTTCATTATGAGCATCATCAGCAGATACTGTAATGATCATTGTCTGTTTGCTGTGGCCTCTAAATGACTTTCTGTCTTGACTCACAAATGTTAATGTTCACTTTAAGCTCCAGGTTCAATATTGACAAAGAGAGATCACCTTTTTGTGTTTTATGTGTTTCTCCACAGGAAGTTGGCTCTGTCCTCCACTTAATGTAAAAAAAAAGCAAAAAAAAACAACTCAAGTTGAAGCTTTGTTATCAAACAAGTTATTACATATTAACACGTTGATGTAACATTATCTCACAAACTGTGTAACGCTCTAACATGTATGTATGTATATATATTTGTTTGTTTTGTACATGGATTTTTTTTGGTCATACATCAATGTAAGCTGGAGAAATGTAAAGATGCAGTACATTTACACTAAAAGTTACCTTGCCAGGTTATTCAAGCATCAGCTAAACAGTCTCAGGTATAATGAATTATTGGTACAATTGAAACTAGGGATGGGTAGATTATTCGAGTACTAGGGTACTCTTTGACGTCATTATTCAAATAACACTTCACGAATAGCGCAGCTTTGCGTTGATAAAGTGAAATCACTCCAATATTAAAATGAATGAAAATGCCCATCCCTTAATAAACACAGAACTTCATTTTGATTACATATTTCATCCAACATTCACTTAAAGGGGACATATTATGAAAATTCCACTTTTACAGTGTTTCTGGACATATACTTGTTTAACCTGAGTGTCTACTGACCCTCAAAATGTAAAATATACCCATCCGATCATTTGTTTGTGGTCTGCACAAGTCTTAAAACACAGAGGAAAATGCTCCGTTTCAAATTTGCTCTCATTGTGACGTCACAGTGGGATTCTGGTAAATACAATCCCCTCCCCTGATATCTCCACCCATGGACTCCACCCCCAGCCTAGAACAAAACTTTTGCACAGGTCCGCTTTTTCTATTCCGCTAGCAAAGGAGTGATGTCTACCGGGAAAACTCAGGAGGGGCTCATTGCATTTAAAGAGACAGGCACACCAAAACAGAGCGTTCTGAGAGAACTGGTTTATACAGCGTCACAAACCTCCTCTGGTGCTTGATTCATGTTATATTTTGACCAAAGCACAGCACAGATGTTTATTATAAGTTTTAATATGTCCTCTTTAAGGTCGACTGTGATTATGTGTATGTGCCAGTGAATCAAGGTTATACAGGTAAAATGCAAGATACTGTGACTCAAAGGTTTAAATAAGTTAAACTTATTTAAATGTTATTTTCTACATAAACATTCATCATTTGTAATACTCCAAAGGTCATTTTCAAGCATTTAAATTACTAACTTCATATCCTAAATTCAATCTACAGTGGCATTTGCGCAAACAGTAGCAGTTACAATGGAGGACTTGGAGGTGCACACATCTTTAGGACCCACCGACTCATCACTATCAGGTATACAGCCTGAATTATATCACTGCCCTGCAAAATATTTGTATTTCTTTAAAACAATTAGATTGTTTTTGTAACAGAAATTTAGGCTTGACTGTTGGCCACCAAAACCTGTACTGATATGTATATACTGTAAATGCCTGTTTTTCTCTCAGATCACGGGTCTTGTGAGAATCTGACTTGCTACATGGTCCTCACGCAGCTGGAGAAAACAGCCATCGGCTCCATCTGTTTCCTGGCGGGTCCTATCACCCTGTTGGAAAACGCTCTGGTGTTGGTCGTGATTGCAGCCACAGCCACCCTGCGACAGCGGCCTTCATTTATTTTCATCGCCAGCCTCGCTCTGGCAGACGTCTTCGCCAGCTGCTTCTTCACCACCAGCTTCCTGGACTTCCATCTCTTCTATCACAGTGATGGCCCCACCGCCTATCTCTTTAAACTAGGCGGAGTCACTATGGCCTTCAGCAGCTCTGTGGGAAGTCTTCTTCTGACTGCTCTGGACCGATACCTCTGTATCCACCAGGCCTCTAGCTATAAGGTGCTGGTGACCCGCCGGCGAGCGGTGCGGAGCCTGCTGGTCCTCTGGAGCGCCACCATCTTCATGTCCTTCCTGCCTCTGATGGGATGGAGGTGTCCCAAAAGGCTTTCTCCACGATGCTCACACCTCTTTCCCTACATCAACCAGGGCTATCTGGCCTGCTGGACCAGCTTCATCCTGGTGCTCCTGGCTCTCATTTTGGTGGCTTATGCTCTCATCCTGTGGACTGCACACCGCCATGAGTCCTCCATGACCAACATCCAGGTAGCAGCAGCGACTGGCCATGCCCGCATGAGGATGGATATTCGGTTAGCACGGACCTTTGGCCTAATTCTCCTCATCCTTGTGGGCTGCTGGCTTCCTGCGCTCTCCTTTATGTTAGCTGATGTCTCCATGTCCCTCACCCACAACCAACAGCGGGCCTTCGCTTTCTGCAGCACCCTCTGCCTGGTCAACTCTGCAGTCAACCCACTGCTGTATGCACTGCGCTGTCGAGAGCTAAGAGTTGCTTTACTGCAGTTGCTACAGAGGCTGTATGAGATCGGGAGGTGTAAAAAGTCATCAGAGAACCTAACCCCAGGATTAGCCTCTGCAGAAGACAACAACTGTACTGTCTGCACTGAGGACGGGACACCCAGGAACAGATCTAACAGACTTAGCTCAATCTCAGAGATGGTAAACAATCAGCAACCGGACAACACAAAATGACTTCCTGTACAGATAGATAGGTGTGTGAGGTGATCAGACAGACATCATCCAGAACATCAAATAAGATCTACAATAAAAAATACTGGAAAGCTGGAAAATACTGGCTTGCCTTTTGATATATACAAATGTAGTAGAAGCTACTGACATCAAAATGATCAAACTTAACAACATTACTAACATACAAGGGAAGCAAACATCTAAACAATGTTGGAACATGTTTGTTTGCAATTACAAATGCACCAAAAAGACAGCTTGTAAGGATCAAACATTTACTTCAGTAGCCTTGTTATGATATCAGTATAGTACTGATCACAGATTAGCTGGTCATATACCACTCAGTGAACCACCAAGAAGCCCCTAAAATCAACACATTTCAGGTAAATGATCATATAACCAGGACTCTGGAATAGCTCAGTCGTTAGGTAAGGTGCAGAGGTTACAGATCTGGTTGCCTTGGCTGCCGTTTCCGAATCCAAAAGGTGACGCTGTTTGGTGCATGTCACCCCCCCACTCTCTGTCCCCACGTTTCCTACCGACTATAGCGTTCCTAGCCAAAAAAAGGCATGAGTAAAAATAATAATCCTGGGGGAAAAAATTATATTACAGTAAAAAAGAACAAAAGTTTGGTGCTGAGGATGTAAGGTTAGTCAAAGCTATAGCCATATGTCAGCAATAGCAGTGTTTTTTTCAGTGATTTTATGTAGGCCTATGTTTTTTAAAATCTCTTAACCCACTAGGAATAGACTTTGTATCGGAATTGGTATTGCAAATGAATAAATTATATCAGAACATCCCTTTATCCTAGAAGTTGTTTTATCTTAATGACACAATTATTTATTTGTAAAAAAAAAAAAGAAAAAAAAGGAAAATAATTATAGTGTGATATCAATATTCCGGAATAACTATACACAGGTTACATACTTAAATGGAGATACAGCTTCTCATCGGTATTATTCTAAGCCATGCAAAAAGTCCAGCGGAACCCTCTTTTTAAAGTGACATAATGTCAAGTGACCAGCCAACCCCTAACCTTTGACCTCTCTGCCCCCATGAAAGCACTTTAGCTCTCTCACTCCTATGACAAACCCTGTCCTGTGAACTGAACTGCTGACATAACTTTTGTGGGTCGTGTCATAGTAGAAAGGTAGATTTATTGTTTTTCCTACTTGTTCATGTTCAAAGTATATTTGTCTCTGCGTGTGCATGAACACAGAGGACACTGTGAGATCCCTATTCTATCTGCACATGAATGCCAGGACTCCACAAAAGCTCCATGCACGGGGAGGCGTCACACAATGTTCCCCCTATGTGTTCACCACATGAATCCAAGCAGTGTGTGCAGAAGTAGATGGGACAAATGATGCAAGGAGGAGAACGAACACAGGCCCTGGAACATTCTTTGAAATTGTGACAGCAAGCAGCTGCAGTTAAAGCGCAGACTAAAAAAGGAATTAGAGTCATATAAGCCTATACGGTATCAAAATAGAGAATCACACAAGTCCTATGATGCTTAGCGATCTTAAATCATTGGATAGGAACACATTGAAATCACTGTATCCACTGATTAAAGAAACTACTTGACCATTTCTGTGTGTCGACTTTTTACATGATTACTTAAGAGTAAATTCCAAAGTGAATCTTGTTCATCTGTCATACTGTGTAAGCAGTCATGGGAGCCCCATAAAACGTCTGGGATAAGTAAATATGCATGTCAACAGAAACAGTGTATAGTTTGGTCAAGCTCTCCTAAGAAGCCCATGTCTAATATCAGGTCATTATCACCATTCAGGCACAAAGGCATGTAGACGTGTCCATCAATGATATACAAAGTTTATGTTTAATCTGCCAAGTCAACGTGAAAGAAACTGATATGCTGTTTCCAGACATCTGTTAAATATGATTCCCACTGAAGGAGATTGTGACTCTGGATTTCATTTTTAATCTCATTTTTTTTATTTTTTTTACCTGACCACCACTGCTGCCTGCCAGACGTCTCGTGAACCTTCAATTTGAGTTCATCGGAAAAGCAATCAACGACAAGTGTAGGGTTACGAATCCGGAAATCGTAACGGTAAAAAAAGGCTAAGTATCAACAAATATCCATTTGTATTCTTTAAACATGTATATTATTGGTTTAAACAGTAAATGTTGATAACAATTTATGATTCAAACTCTGAGATATACAAAGAAAAATGTTGTAAGTATTTGAGTCCGCCCCCTCTGTGAGCTCAAATAGTGGAACAGTCCATTGTGACGTTTTAAAAATTCAGCAGGCAGGCTCGGCATTTGGCTTCCTACTCAGAGAAGAAGATCCGTTGTTGTGGAGACGAAAGAAAGGCTCAAGAAATTACGGGAACGGTGAACGTAACAACCCACCGGAGCTTACTCCCCCCCCTCCCTATAGTCTTTTTGGTGTGTGTGTGGGTCGTGTTTCCCCTCAATCTTACTTTTACCCCCTTTTTCTTTAGCCAACATGGCTTGTGGAGCTACGTTAAAGCGGTCGATGGAGTTTGAGGCCCTCCTCAGTCCTCAGTCTCCCAAGCGGAGAAGGTGCACTCCACTACCGGGGACTCCCAGCACTCCGTCCCCGCAGAGATGCAACCTCCGTCCCCCGGTCGACAGCCCAGCGCACTCGATGTCTCCCCCGGCGATAGGAGGCGAACACAGGCTCACACCAGGTATGAAATTAAACCGTAGTTGACGTTTTTTTTTTTTCTTTCTTTTCTCTCCTGCGTTTCAGGGTGGGTGTCATGGGGGAGGGGGGTTTGGGTGGAGTGGATAGCTAGCTAGTTGGGAGAATCAAGAATGGGGGTTGGAGGCTAAACGGCAATGCTAGCGTGGCTAAGCTAACTCCACGAAAGAGAATGTCGTCGCTAAGTTACCGACAATGTTTTACTTTCTTTTCTTTTTTTTAAAGAAATCATAACAAATACACTTTTTTTTTCTTCTTTTTTTTAAAAAGTAAAAGTTTCTGTGTAGATATTTGCTAGCTCATTGTATTGTTGCATGGTTGGTTTGGTAAGCTCACAGTTACTGATTCAGATTTTTACCATGAACATAATCATGCTCACAGTTATCGATGTAGATAAATTACACTATTTCTAGAATAGTAGATAAAGCATTTTGATTAACCTCATCATCAGCTTTCCCTCCTGCACACTGTCCAGCGTTTGAACGGATTATTACTGCGTTTTTTTGGGCATGCTCCTGTGTTCAAAGAAACACTATTTGTGATTACATGAAAGAACATGCTCATACATTTAACACCTGGGTGCCAAATCAAAGACTTTGGCTCTACTGTAAAGACAAATGGCTTCAGAGCAGCATGCACATCATGGCAGGCTGTTAAGTAGGAGCTGCCTGGGCAATGCTCCTTAGCTTTAGTGCCCACAATTGTCTTGCATTGAGGTGGGGGGTTACCACTATGTGCCACAGCCATTTCTTTTCCTCTTCAGGCCTGCAGGGCATTGTTCATTTCCTTTATGTCTGTATTCTGTTTCTCTCCCTTTTTGGCTTGTACAGCGCCTCTGTGAGCGATGGACGGGTGTTGGGTGCATTAGTACCCCCTAGATAATTACCTAGATGCCTCAACTGTGATCCAGTAAAGCTTAATGTATGTGCCAGTCACTATATTAGGCAGAATGATGGTAGCCCTTTTTTTTTTTTCTTTTTTTTAAACACATACTGCACTTTTTAAAGTCAGACGGCTTTTTTTTTTTTTGCACAGTAAGAAAAAAAAAAATACTCAATGGCTCCTATAGAGGGTCAGGAAAGGTTTGTTGAAGGAATTCAAGCACACAAATGCACACACAGATGTTCATGATGATGGAGATGGCGTCACAGCTGGCATCCTGCGAAATGTCTTATGTCTGCCTCTGATGAACAGTGTGTGATACTTCACACTCTGATGAGGTCTGTGTTCTACTGAAGCCGACGTTTAGCAGTGATTTAAGGAGCACATTGTTTCTCAGAAGGCTCAGGGAAGTTCCTTGCATTTCCGTTTTCCTAAAGGTTAAGACTTGATTGTCCCTGTTTTTGCTCAACACAAAATGAGTGTATTAGATTGCTTAATATGTATCCTTGCAGAATAGTGTTTATAGCTCAGCTACATGTATATGTTAATACAGAAAATGTATAAATAGGATTTTTTTTCTGGGTTATGTAGTCTGGTTTACCGTAAACTTGAGTTAAAAATCGAAATGCCTCCTGTACATTCCATTTCTTCAGGAGTCTGTCTGTCTCGTTGAATTACTGCACAGCAGCTGCAAGTAAATCTGCAAGTAATGCACATTTGTCTGCTGCAGACATGAGGCCCAGATACCAAGTATTATACTCACCTTAAGCCAGTAAGAGGCCCCTCATGGGACTAGTGCTGCAAGCCTGCCCTTCTTCTGTGGTTTGCCAAGTGAAAGCAGTTTTGTATTTAGCGAAAGGTCAGCTGTCATCCCTCCCACCCATCTCTACCCACACAGGTTTTCCAGCTAGTCAGGTTTGCTAATGTGGAGCAAGTTTGGATGTGCAGGAAAGACACAGGGATCCTACGGTGTCCACTGCCCAGGCATATTTGGGTTATTTTATAATATAAATAGGATCAATCAATCTTTTTTTGTGATGCCAGTCTGGGCTGGTATTTCGATAATGTTCTCCTGGTTGACAGATGAGGCTTTTGTCAGGTAAACAGATTTGGCCCTGAGAAATCTGCTGCCTCGCCAGGAAGCGCTTGTTGACAGAAGTAATGAATTTAGAATGTGAAAAAAATGGAATCACATACCACTATTGAGACGTACAAGACCAACTTATTTCTGCCAAGTGCGCTTTCTTTTACAATATTTGAATACTACACTGCTTGATGCTCAAATCAGTTGTCTTATTTTGCTTAATTTGTAGACAGTTCACAGATATTACAGTAAAGTTGCACATTATGCATGATCTATAGCAGGACATGAACTGTATTATCCATGAATTGCACTCAGTGGTTTAGGATCATGTACTGATTTTTGTTTTTGGTGGCTCTGATTCCACAGGCTCCAATAGTTGATAGTAAACTTAAGCCACAGTTAAAAAGTCCACATGGTAATAAATGAAAGTGGCTTGTTTGATTCAGCAAAAGACTCATCAGGTGTCCACAAGTGGTCTGGTTCTGCAATGTCCAATGTTGAACTTGCACATAATGCAAAACTTACCCATAATAAATCACTGACTACTTCCTGGCAGTTTGAACATGTGAAACCCACCAACACACACACACACACACACACACACACACACACACACACACACACACACACACACAATCACACAATCAGTGGAGGGTGAAATGTAATGACTCAGCGTTGCTTTCTCTGCACCACCATGTCCAATCTATCCAGCCAATCTCCCTTTCGTATTCACTATTCTGCCTGTGCTTAAGCCTTTTAGCCAAGGCTTTCTCCACTGTTTCCCCCTGGCTCCCGGAAGTCTCTGTGATTGATTGCTTGGCCTATTTGTGGCAGGGGTCATTGTTGCCAAGCAACACCCACCGTTGAGCCACTTGTAGTTGGCAGAGCTGGAAGTGATGGGCAGCAGGAGAGGGTCACTCGTCTGTCACATTTACTGTCCAACATAAATGTCAACATTTTTTTTTTTTTCCACTATCTTGATTTAGAATTGAACTTTTGTTTTGGTTCTGAATGCACTTACAGTTTCACATTTTAAAAAGTATCAAAGACATGTAAGTTTATCCAGAAACACTACATGATGGGATTGCACCAAAGTAGTTGTAGCACCAGGTAAAGTTGGTTTTTCTTTCAGTTCTCTCTAGAGACAGTACTTTGCTCTCTTCTGCTCTGTCTGTTGGTTCAACCATCATGTTGACTTCCTGTGTCTACTACAGGGTTTCCCCCAGGAAATTGGTAACTGAGGTTGGTAGAGCTGCTACCCCACCCAAGCCCTACAAAGAAAATAACTAAGAACACAAAATGGTGGTGAAGACAGACACTGGGTCTCCTGCACACACACACACACACACACACACACACACACACACCTAAAAACTAATATTTGAAACTCTAAGATTGGAATAATCAACAAGGGAAAACGGAAGGACTTCTGTCTAATGGGATCTAGCCTAATTCAAAAATGTGTGTTTCATCTGGTGTGTGGTGGACAGTCCCTGCCCTGAGTCCTTGTCCCAATCTGGCTGTTTGACAGTTGCTGGATTTTGTCTTAAGGATGTTTTGGAGGCACAGTGAGAGAGACAGGGCCCTGACACTGTGCTGCTCTTTGTTCTCTGATCTAAGAGATGCACGCTGTTATCATGGGCCTACTTGCAATGAAAAAGTACTCAGTCCTGCTGGTTTATATGTTTATCAAAATGAACTTCAACCTGTTGTAATCTCTTTGACGTTATGATAATTAAATATTGGGATCACACATCAAATTTACCTGTGTTGTTTGAGCTTTGTCTAAAATGCTGCCCTATCAATTCACTGATTTAGGACCATGGCTAAGACAATCTACTTTCTTTGTTTCTCAATTTATTATAAAAAATCTTCTCTCAACGCACGGCCATTTAAATATTGGTGTATGTAGTTGAGGCTGAAAGTGC